GACTGTGCATGTTTTAAAGCAGAGTTATTGTCAACCTGAAGTTTTAAGCGTGCGCAGGGCATGTCCGAGTTTGCTTATTGCCTCGAAGCTTTGAAAAATTTTAGACCTACCCTAAAATAGACAATTTAAGTAAAAACTAATATAAAAACTGCCATGGTTGATTTTTCAGGATTTTTCTAAGGAAAAAGGGTCTTTTCATTATAACTTCCGGTCTGATGACGTCATACACCTTAAACTTCGCACACGTCTTAAGTGGGTCAAGGTCATCATATACACCAATATTTAGGCGATTCCGACAAACTTCGCCACAGACATCTATTCAAAATACATTTTTGAAAATTTTCAACCTGTCGCTAGAGGGCGCTCGAAGATTGCATGACGTCATCGGTAGATGATTTGAAGAATACTATCAGCCAAGAGACTAACACAGTTAAAAGCAAGTTCATATCTATTACCACTTTTAAATAATAAGCCACTTCCGGTTTTGGTCTCTTTCGACCGGAAGCAAGGGCCATGTGATTTTACGCACACTGAATGATATAAAGACCTCAACCTACTCTACCACTTGCCGGCAACAGAATGCTGCGGACGCGTACGGTTGATTTCTTATGCATTTTTAAATATTAAAATTGTCACAATTTAATTGCCTATAAATAAACACCGGATGACGTCATCATGACGTCATCATTACACAATGATGTTTGAATTAGGGTCATTGCTTGGACAAAGATTGGTGTAAATGACTTACTGGCAAAGTGTCGAAAATGCCCTCTGAAAATTGACATTTTTTTTAAAATTTCTGTGTACAAAGTCTATGGGAAAAATTAAATATTCAAAATTCTATAATAAATCACGTGATAACGTCAGCATGACGAAAAGTTTCGGCGCACATCTTCAGATGGTGGTCTAAGCGTGTGCCAGGTTTGAAGTCGATCGGATTTGAAAAAAAGCCAAAAGTGACTTGTAGAACGAAAACACGTGTTATCCTATGAGAAAAAAGTCTGAAAAATAAAAGAGAAAAAAAAAATAACAGAAACAAGAGCTGTTTCGGTGTGTACACCGAAACAGCTAAAAAGAAAAAATCTTAACGAAAACAAGAGCTGTTTCGGTGTGTCACCGAAACAGCTAAAAAGAAAAAAAAAATCTTAACGAAAACAAAGGCTGTTTCGGTGTGTAACCGAAACAGCTAATAACAACAAATCTGTTGGGATGCGGTCTTATTATAAAGTGTCATACTGCCAAGATATGTGGCCACGGTCAAACCGATATGCGCGGCTTATTGAACACATGACAAAACGGAAAAGGAGAAGAAAGGGGGTCAAGACGAAGCTTCTTCTTGCCTGGAGGGTTCGGGTTGACCGGGTCGGATAGAGGACACCTCGGCAGGTCATCGCTAACCGGAGCACTGGAAATATGCAAATGGCTGGTTATATAGCCAAGTGTGATGAAATTGCGCCTGGAGCTGTTGATGAAACGCTTAGGTGTCTGGCACTAGAAGGAAAGAAGAGAGGTGGGGTGTTGTTTTTCCCCGTCTTGGTTTCAGATCAAAACTCTATAATGGTTTCTCAGCTCACGAATCGAAGACAGGCTATTAAGTGATCACGAGGATAGAGATAATTGAAGACAAGAGTGAATGTGACAGAATTGCATATTGTTTTATGAATGGTAACGGGGAAAGATAAATGGTCGGGGAACGATTATGGCGAGGATGAAAATGAAGATGGTGATGATGATGACATCCATGACAAGTATGACAAGATTGTAACGACGATTAATGGCGACAACAATAGGATAACGATAATGACTCAGTATAACGATGATAATCACGACGACACCGATAATTATATGAAATTGCAAAAGTTCTTATTTGATTTATACATGTACTATAATACATCATTTTTTTTAAAGGACAGTTTGAAAGAATGCGATTTACGTTTATATAAGAGGAGCTCACGTTTGAAATCATTTTGTTGATTTATTTTCTGTGGTGATGAAATCAGTAGCAGAGTTGTGTAATGTAGTGGAACAATAAAAAAGGTATCGAATGTGATAACTGCATTTAAAATGATGACAAGGATTATGTTGTATAATAGAGATCTTGGAAGTGGTTGTCATGACGATGAAAAATAATGTCGATCTTTACGGAAAAGTACTGGACTTTCTCACATTATGTCACATTGTTTCAAAATAGCGATAAATATCTGCCAATGTCATAGATACCTAATCATAAAATATAATCTTGCATAAAAGTACCAATGGCTGTCTTCGTGCTTTTTACATCTTCACTTTTCCTCGAACACTCATTGATTTAATAATTGAATAAAACATGACAATAAACACTCCATTCGACCCCGATGATGCATTGTGGCCTGGAAAGTGCGGCGTTATCGTATTAAGTGTACAGCAGTACCACCCGCCAAAGAGTCCTTACGCACAACAGACAAGAAGAGGAGGAAGCCTATATAAATCATATTATACCTGAAGTCCGGCCAAGCATTAAGGATGTATTTATAGCGAATGAATATATTACACGGAGCCGTGTGGAACGGCGGCGGTGGCTGGTGAACTCCAGATGAACCCGCGGCTGGCGGACGGGCGGAGCGGTCAGTCTCGAGAATTTGCGCCCGCAGATCCTGGCAGCGTCTCTTCGTCTTCGTGCCCGGTGATCAATAGATCTCGAGGTCTGCAGCTAGGGGCAACATTATGCGGTGGTCTATGAATCTGCAAAAAGCTGATGATTATGTATTAAGGGAAACCTCAACTGCTCTATCGTGGGTACATTCGTGTCGTTTTGGTCTTGAAAGTTGGCGAATATGTACACAGAGTGAACACAAACTTATCAAAAACAGCTCTTTTATGCTTCGGGTGGTCAGTGAAATAAATTCCTTCATCCACACACTCATAAAGCGACCATGCTGTCTTTATTTTGTATAAGCTTTTAATTAACAGGTAAACTTTAGCCAAACTTCCGTACAATGGGTGACGTCATTATGACAATAAAAAGGACAAACTGGCTAGGGACAAACTGGCAATGAACGATTGAGGGCGCTCTGTAGCCTATTTACGTTCGTCGAGTGCTACCAAATGGTTGACGATGAACGAATTAAGTGCGTTGTAAGGGCAGGGGCTTATTTTAATTTCATATCATGAAACGATTAGATTTGTCATTTATTAATTTATAAGGGGAAAAATAAACCACTCACTGCCGTAGCACACTGCGCATGCTTGTACTTTAGATGTCGCTGGCCACAGCTTGGCCTAGCCTATATTAATTTCTTAATGATCTCTGGGTAGCAATAAACCATAGCTTATTATTTCGGCCAGTTGCTGCAAATTGCCCTGCCTGCAAGACGATGCAGAGGTAACATGGCGGCCAGATTCCCTCGCGGCTTCCCTCATGTCCACTGCTTGCAACCCCAGACGACAGGTCGGCGCTATACGTGTGGAGTCCAAGCTATCGTTCAACGCACACCGGCGGCTCAGAAGAAGACACTATGACAGCGCCCGGTCAGCAGCAAGCGTTTTCCCGACGGATCAAACCAGCAAGCTAGGCTATCAACACATCCACTGTGGACCTGACCGGTCGTCGAACCCTCATCCCTTTCATTTACCTTTGTTATCTTAGAATGACGGTGTGCACATTATAATGAGAAGTGGGATGTGCTATGAAGAAAGCATCCGAAATTGAAGAATTGAAAAGACGTTGACGGGTTTGGCGCTAGACAAAGAACCCGGAATTGAAGGGCTTACTAAGGTCACAAGACGACGGTTTGCGGCGACCTTGACGCCAATTGGGCAGTTGGTACATCGGCCCGCCACTTGGTGCACTTGGTGATAATCACAGAGGAAGACTGACCTACACGCAAAGAATCGTCGACCGTCCAGTGGAATATTAATATCAAAGAATCCGTGACCCCGAACGAAAAACTGGGTTACGGATTGTCTCTGAATTAGAGTGCACAATGCATGCTGTGTGCCTTACATTTAAGATTAAAAAGTAGGGGTGGTAAAGTCCACCGTCAAAATTTGAAGACGTCCATCTGGGAAATGGTTAACACTATCAATACAAGAATTTTGACACCAAATTTAACTAACGCTGTGTCTCTTAAAATAATAACCCCCACCCCTTGAAATTCAAAATTAACCCCAAAATGGCCTTTTTTGACTATTCTGCCGTTTATACCCTGACTAGTCTTGTTGTCTACGAGTAATGGTGAATTAAGATTCATTATTTCAAATAAGAAACATTCAGTCACAGTGGCATGGAAAGAATTCAGAAAGATGCTTAGCTTTGGCTGCTGCCTTGGATCCCCTGAAAGAGGGAATCTGTCCAGCCCTCAGCTCCTTGCTCTTCTGCAAGACAACTGACCTGCTGACTGCATTCAATGTGCCTAACTTCTCAGTCTGTAGTCCACCTTGCCACATTAATGTCTCTCCATGCCAATGTTTTGCACTAAGGTTTCATCAACGGTGACTCGCCTGGTCGCCAGTGGCGGCGCTGGGTGTGGGGGGGGGGGGCATTTCTCCCCCCCCCCCTTTTTATCCTTGCCTCCAATTTCTCCCCCTCCCCCTTTCTCCCAACACTTTGTCAACAAACTGATTAATTATGTTTATTTTCTTCGCTTGTTAAGATTCATAAAATATGGACACAATTTGGGCCAATGAAAGCATTATAAACATCGCTACTTTAGACAAAACACGCCACCCTTACAGCCGTAGATAGTGTAGCCGACGTCTTTGTACATTTGTTAAAATTAATTTGTTACACACCATTCTGCGGTTTGATGCATTATTCATTCATAAAAATGAATATATTTCTAAGTTATTCTAGTGGTTTATTTGCCGACCATTGACAGTGGGCACGCACGCGCGTATACACAGGAAATAAAAACAAATTTAAATGCCCCCAAAACTATGTCCTTGCCCCCCCCCCCCAATTGTTCCCTCCTCCCTATTTTTTTTTAGAGTCTGGCGCCGCTACTGCTGGTCGCTCATGGGACAGTCCACTGGGAAGGCCTCCTTATCAATCCCATAGTCTTTTCTCTGCCTGGCTAGTCCATTTGGAAAGGCCTCCTCATCAATCCCATAGTCCCTTCTCTGCCTGGCTAGAAGAGTCTGCAGGTGTGGCAGCATTAGGTTGGTCAGCTTCTTCACTTCCTCCATGTGCTAGTCAGCTAAGTCAGACACAGACTTTAGGACCTCCTCCTTGTAGTTCTTTACACCAGTAAAAAGATCATCAGACATCCGAGGGTTCTCGGGCTTTATAAACTTAGTGAAGTCGTCACTGATGGGCTGACCCAACCCTGTGCAGTCCTTTGTAGAACTCTCTGAGCTGAGTATGGTAAGCGTCTTTCTCTGTGGTCTTGGCTTAGAAGGACTCCACGCATGCGCCTCCCGTATTTTTTTCTTCTTGTGACTAGACCCGTTGTTTGGGTTCGCGGTGTCCACAAAATTATGTGTCAGAAAGCTCTAAAATAAGTGTTTTTAGAGGCTCTAACCTTTGGGTTCGACATCCACATGTTTTTATGTAAGTTGAGGTTCATTACTTTGCTGTTAGCTAGATAGAAAGCGTGACATTTGCTTGTGATTTTGGGTTTCCTTTTTGGATCCGTCTCAGTTTTGTTGTGTATAAATTATGTCAGGGCAAGCTAATTAGTTTTCGTGTATAATAATTATGAAGAGTCGGACGTTTTGTAATTGAAAGACGTCCCGTTCATTGTGTTGCAGGAAGTTGCACATTTGCTGTGTCGAGAGACATCTTGCGGGATGGGTGCTATGTTTCTTAAGCCTTGTAAGTGTTAACTTTGAAGTTTATGTTTGCTGGAAAAGACTCATTGTGGCTCTTATTTATGTATACAGCCTTTGAGTAAAAGATTGTTTACTACTCCATCTTGTATTTACCTTCACATTCTTCATTATGGGCCTACATGTATGGATTTTTTTCACACTTTAAGAACACATGTGACAGATCTTTGTAGATGATGCTCTGATTATGACAGGAAGTCTGGAAGCGCACAAGTCTCGATTTAGATGACTGGACATGGTAAACGTACATGTAATCACTTTATTTTATGAAGGTTTGGGACTATACATATATTGGGATTTGGTGTGACATACCCTTCATTTTTCTGCTTGAAATGTACATGTATTACATTGGGTTTTCATGAATGAGTCATTTTCACATGTGTGTTTATAATCTCTAAGGATGAGAATGTTTAATGTTCAGGGCCTTTTCAATTTATTGACAAGAAGTTCGAGTACTTAATGATAGTTTTCATCATTTTGCCTCATAAACATGGAGGACTGACATAGTGTTTGTAATCTCTGTTTTACCGCCAAGGCAAGAGCGAAGTAGTTCTTGGAATAAAGACAAGAGTGCAACGGTCTCCACCGACGTTTACTTCCTGCCGCGTGCATGGTTAGCTACTGGATAGGGGGCGCGCTTGCGTACTCTGAGGCCAATCTAAGGACTGCTGCTGCCCTGGATCCGCCACTGATATAAATAGAAGAGTTGACTAAGATGAACACATTTCAACGAATCATGAATTATTGAACCATGGAGAAATGGATATCCAAAATCTGGGCACACTCCGACTGCCAGTTTCAACCACATTGTACACCACTCAAGCTGATGAACAGGGAGCTTTGCATAGCTTCGCCATAGCGAAGGAAGGGCGCCCACGTGCGGTATATCATGTATTACGATGACGTCATGCTGGCGTATATTAATTCCTTTCCTCCGGGTTCTATCGTAGGGTTGGCCTATTCTCAAAAGAATTGACGGGAATTGTTAGCTCTTCATCAGCAGCCAAAATGCTGTCTTTATAATCATTCAACAACAAAATTCCCACCCCTCCCCTAGCAAACTATACTCACCATAGAATATCTCTTAACACCTTGTGCCCTGGATCTAGTTCCCTGCTTTTACATAATGATTATAGAAGTCTCGTTGCACCAGGTCCCCCCCCCCCCCGAGCTCTTGGGGGGAAAATGGGGCAAATGTATGCTTTCATAACCTGGGTTAATAAAGAGAGAACCGTGCATATTGGTAGACTTAAAACCTAAATCTTATGAGAATTTAGCCCGAAACCTTATAGTCAAATTATACTAATTTTATCACTTGGTAAAAAGGGGCTATCTACAAAGAATCAACGGCTAAGGGAAAAAAGGTCACCTCGAAACGGGTGACGTCACGGTTGTTATAGCAATGCGATGCCATCAGAACAGCGCTGTGTAAATGGACGGTTTTCCACCGCTGACTTTCGCGCAGGGATTACGAGTGATGGTCGTTTCTTTCGTTTTGTTTTCGTTTTCATTTTTGTTTTTTGGGTTTTTTTCGAGTTCAATTGGACTATGACACAACAAGCATACAACTGACAGTCAGCATTGTGTTTCTGAGGCTCTTTTTCCTTGCACGCGACTACATTCTAGAAACTAAAGATACGTTAAAATTACAGCCTATAAGAGGTAGACTGAAAGACAGACAGACGGACACCCAGACTGGCGCATAAACACCGACAAATTTCTGATTTCTATAAAGAATTGAACATTTGTTAATAAAAATTAACCATCGTTCATCACCGAAACAACTTTTGGTGATGTACTGTGGATGCACTGTGTCCTAAAATTGAACAAAAGTTATTGTGATTAGAAAATAGAAAAAAAAGCTAAATTCCCTTTTATTTCTTAGGTGTTAATTTTAGATTTACTCGACGAGCTTACTTCAGTGTGATACACAATTTTCAATTAAAATGTATGTTTTAATGAACCATGTCGGTCTCAGTCACAAACGGTATTTCAGACACTTGAATTCAAGCCGAAAGTAGAAGTATGATAGTAAAAAAAAAGGAATTTAAAAAAAAGGAATCTTTTATGGCTTACAATTAGAACACAAGCCAAGTTAAGGTGTAAATCTCGCATTACCGAAAGTAGCTCACGTAATGGTACAATTATGCAGAGCTAACATATCAGCAGATCAACCTTTGCTACACCATGCATGCATGGAACAAATAAAGAGATAAGCAACTTTATCTGAAAGAAAAGTCCAAATGTGCTGGTTGAAAAGCAACTATAAGTATACATCAAGTGTCGGAGCGTTGTCGTAAATCTTTTGATTTGTGTTTTACAAATGGTGCTCGAAGAGCAATATACTACTGTTTTCCTGTTCGAAATATATAAGGCATCTATCGCACAGCATTATCGGTGAAGTTTGTGAAAACCTCAAGCTGGAAACGAAAGGACAAATACAAATAAAAGAATCGTAGCTCAAGGCAAAATCAACAAACTGAAAGAAATTAATTATTAACATTTTCACTAACTTTCTAAATACGGTGGATTTTCCGAGTATTAGAGCATTTGCATGATCTCATTTATTATTTGAAGAGTTTGTTTCCAAAATGCAAAATATCTATTTGAAAAGGGTAAAAGTTTTGCACGGTTATGAAGCTTGTAAGAATAAACGCAGTATAACAGCAATTTCTTAACTTCATTTTTGAATTCTTAAATTGTGTTTAAGACTAGTGTACAACTACCTATAGAAAATGCATTTGGGCAGCCAGAAGAGAGCAGGATTCTAAAAGCGAACAAAATGGCGTAGGCCTATATCGCGTTTTGGAAATAAACTCTTCATTTTATTTTATATCTATTTACTTCAAGATTGCGTCTGAGTAAATCATAGGGCACCCCTAGCCCTCTATAGATCACTTCATAATTCAAATGGCCTTCGATATTTCTTAGGATTCAATTCGCGTGTTATAGAAATTCGCTAATGACCAATGAATTTAGTAAGGATTATGTATCAGGTCTCACAGTAACAGCTGATATACATTGGCCCTGCATCCGGACACCGTATCTAAAGTGACGAGGGAGGCTAGGTTTTCATGTTGCCAGGCAACACATCGCACAGCCCTCTTGTGCGTCGTATATAAAAAAAAAATGCCTGATGAGATCAGTGTAACAACCCAAGTGGTTGGAGTTTGGGAAGACGTCATCGGGGCGACGCTTGCTGGCGCGGCTGGGTAAGGGCACAATCAGCGCAGACTATAGAACGTCGCAGATTATTGGCGGCTGATGACGTCATTCTGTCGTGGCTTATTCTTAAGGAATACATCTCTTGACACCGAAACGGGTCTCTCGACAGGCGCGGTTCTAGAACCAATATTTTGGGGGGGCTAGCAGGGTGGATCCAGATTTTTTTTCAGGGAGGTGTGCTGAAATGTAGACCGGTTATTTTCTCCAGACACTTAGGCCTCCGAAAATCAATAGGTGTTGGGGGGGGGGGGGGGGGGGGAAGGGGGGGGGGGGGAAGGGGGGGGGGAAGGGGGGGGGGGGGGGGGCTCATGCCATATTTTCAATGGGGAGCGCCAATAAAATCCTAAAATCATGCACACTATATTAACTAATGCACCCTTGTCACGACTGTTTCTTTAGGGGGAGACCGTTTGCATGTACATCACAATCCTTCTTTTTGCTAATGCAATTTTTTTTTTAAGGAATTTATTTTTGGGGGGCTAGACAACATTTTTTTGGGGGGGGGGGCTTTAGCCCCCCCCCCCCCAGCCCCCGCATAGAACCGCGCCTGTCTCTCGATGGGCTGATTATTTTGTGGGAAAGGTGGTGGGTGCATGGTTTGGAGGAGGTACAAATTGGGTTAGTTTTGAATTTATCTGGGCGGTTACGATTTATACGCACAGTTGGGCGTGTGGGGGAAGGGGGGGGGGCTACGACCTAGAAGTTTGCACTCCTTGCACAGGGCATGAATCCTCAAGAGTGTTAGAAAATAGAAGGGGGCTTGAGTTTTTGGATTGCTTGGATAGGCAGAGGATCAGCTATCTTGATACTGTCAGAAACTATGCTCCACACACACCTGAACTACCTGAGAAAATCTTAAACAAGAATTTCTAAAAGCCAACAAAAACATCTTATACAGGAAAGCTGTAAATTGTTATTGTTAACTCACAAACTTCAGAAACTACGTTCGTGTTATTTATTACGTGGGCGGGCATACTATTTTTGCTTTCATCGGCTATAGACAAAGAATGTAATTATGCAATATTTAGTTGGAGAAGCACACGCACAGGATAAGGAAACTCACGGTAATGAAAGCGATTCTTATATACACTGCAGTTGGTTGGATGCTTTGCAGAGAACGGTTTTGGTTGCGC